TTGCTCCAAGCCCTGTCCAACCTGGCCTGGAACACTTCCAGGGATGCCACAGCTTCTCTGGGCAACCTGTGCCAGGGCCTCACCACCCTCACAGGGGGGAATTTCCTCCTAACAACTAATTTAAATTTCTCCTGTTTTAGTTTAAAACATTGCCCCTTGTAAAGGTCTCTCTTACTCTTTTTTATAAGCCCCTTTAAGTACTGAACTGTAAAACACCAAGTGTCTTATTGCAAACACAGCAAGAAAATAAATAATGGCAGCCAGTATTTGCATAGGTTTCTGTCCTTTCAGGTGAGAAACCGAAGAGCCAAAAATCCTACATGTGAATCTGCTTCACTGCTCCAGCTGAGAGATGGGGAAGAGCAGGATGGACAGACACCCTCAGCCCACTGCAGTGCTCAGAGCCTGAGCTCCAGGTTGTTTGGGGTTATTTGCTGTGAACTGAGGTATGTTCAGTCCCCAAGGGCAGTAGAAGATTTCCTGTTATTTTTGAAGATATTTCTATTCATCCGTCTGGTAACAAAACAAAACTAGAAGAAAGTTATGGCTGAGAGTGAGAAGCTGTTGAGGTTTCCTGTTCTTCACACTGGGAATGAGCAGTAAATGAGCTCTGCTGAGGAAGAAAGAACAGAAAAACAATTCCACAAAAAAATTTACAGCTTTCCAAAACCAGATCTAGAAAGAACTGTGTTTCTCATGAAAACAACAAATATCTTTGGAGCCATGAACTTAAAAATCCCACTTGAATATAGTCAAATAGGACAATTTTGTTACAACTGTCAAACACATTCAAAAACTTTCTGAGCAAAAGAATGAGTCTCCAGCAGCTACCTGGGAATTTTGAATACGATACAAAATATCTTTGTTTCAGTATTCGAAGAAATCAACATGAATGGAATTCCAGGATCTCACTTGGGAATTCAGCTTTACAGAAGAACAGGATTTTTCATACTGCTACTTGAGATTTTCCTTTTGCTAAACAAGATCAAGCTGTCCTACACTATCCAAGTGAATCACCTTCCTGGGAGAAAAAGAAACCTATAGTTTTTGTCTTTAAAACAGAAAGATCATAGAATGGTTGGGAGGGTGCTTCAAGACCACCCAATTCCACCCCCTGCCATGGACAGGGACACCTTCCACTAGCCCAGGTTGCTCCAAGCCCCATCCAACCTGGCCTTGGACACTTCCAGGGATGGGGCAGCCACAGCTGCTCTGGGCAACCTGTGCCAGGGCCTCACCACCCTCACAGGGGAGAATTCCTCCCTAATATCTCATCTAAAGCACTGGCACTATTGTAGTTTGCTCATGAGAACTCCCAAGGCATGTCCGTGATGCCAGAGATGCTGCAGTGCTGTAACCCCAGGGTAAAACACACAGGCTGCTGGGTGCAGGGAACTCCTGCCTGGATCAGGCACCAGACTCAAATGCAGGAGTAGTTACACAGTTTGAATATGAGCCTCACTGGTAAAGAGGCTTTAAAACTCCTCCAGCTGAGAACTGAGGTTGGGGCAATCACTGAGTTTTCCAAGCCCTCAGGCTGCAGGCAGGCTGGAGATAGCACAGCAGGTCTATGACTGGCTACTAAAATCCCTTCTTTTCTTGCTATGGACAAGGAAAACAAAAAAGAACACAACCATCCCCTTAAATTCTCTAAATTAAACCCTATTAACCTACTACTTTCAAAGGTCAGAGAAGGAGGGGAGGGAGGATTCCCTGGCATTCTGTACTCAGCCAGCAGAAAAGCTGAGGCTGGACATAGCTCCTGTACAGGGGAAGAGCCTGCTAAGCTGCAGCATTCACAGCGTGCAGCTGCTGGGATGAAACGGAATTCACATTGAAATGCATCCAAAAAAAAGGACACAGACATTCACAGAGAGCTGGGAAGGTAAATTTATTTGAAAGACATGACCCACCTCTTTGTAATCGCCCTTGAGATAAAGATGACTGACATGTTCAAGCAAATAGTTCCGGTCTGCTGTGTGGAGCTGGTAAATGCTGATCAGGGGGTCAAGCAGATTAGCTGGGCACTGGGAGAGGATTCTGAGCACACGGGCCTGCAGCTTCTTCAGCTGGATGCCAGACTTGAAAAAACCAAAACAAAAATCAAACCCGGGTTTAGTAAAGATGGCTGCGATTCAACAGCAGTGGGAAATGCAGCTTGTTTAAACAGAACAAGCCAATTCCTTTGGAAGGGATTCTCCAATTTCCCCACGGAGTCTGCAAGCACAAATCAGAACAATATGATACACGTTATTTTCACAGCATCCAATTCAAAAACATGAAGAGTTTGCGGGATAATTCTGGAGAAGGGATATGTGCAAAAGCAAAATCTGAAACTGGAAAAATGCCCTCTGAACTAGCACAGCTCTTCAGAAATTCTCCTCTCTAGTTCTCAGCAGAAAATCTTTGAATCCAGAAACTCCCCTCCAGGGAGATCTCACCTGTCAGGCATAAGAATTCCATTTCACTCCCAGGCTTGCTCCTGGGTGCAAGAAGGGCAGGAAAAGCAAAAGCACCGTCAAAAGATGCACAGACACAGGTATTAATCCTTGTGTTTTCCACATGATCATTCATGACACAACAACTTCCCACACTCGTGACACAGGAATTTCAGTGGCAGTAGCACTTTGCTGCGTTTTGTAGATCCTGTAATGGCAGAGCTCAACATCTAACCAGAGCCATTTGGAAAAATGTGAAAGGAAGCAACACAAATATAAAAGTATCCTGCAGTTCAGAGCCAAAAGCTTATAGAAAAGAGAAAATCTCTTTTCCGTATAGGTCAGAACATGTAAAGGCAGAAGGAATGGTAAACATTAGGAAGTATAATCTGATGACCCAACATTACAGAACTAATCATTCGGCTGCTGAAAAGGCAGACTGTTCCCATTTTCTGCATTCCCACCATATGGCAGGAGTTAAGCAATCCTACAGTAACTGGCTTCTATTTGCAGAGCTGGAAGAACACACAGAGCAGATTACTGCAACTGGGTTTATCCTGACAGCAGGGATGTGAGTTCCAGTGGGAGAGCCTCCAGCCTGGAAAGGCTGCAAGATCAACGCTCCATCAAAGTGGTTTGATCTGGAGAGATGGAAAGCCCAACTTGGGAAGGGAAACAGAGCTCTGGCATCACAGCTTCCAATGATTTCATTTTCAGACCAGCATGCCACAGACAACAACATCTCAGTAAGAGTTTCACACCTTGTCACACTGTGTATAAGGCTACAGAGAAGATGCTGGACTATGGAATAAAGTGAAAGTGGAGATACTTGAGGCACATTAAAATCAGTCGCTCTCCCCTCTCTCCCAACTCTCTTCTAACCTGTGGAACAGCAGGATGCTCTTTTATCCAAAGCTGCAGCTCCGTGGTGATGTAATACCCCAGGGAATGCCCTTTCCCCTTCCAATCACTGCTGTTCTCCAGCATGGTCAGGAGTCCTGCCAAAGGGTCCTCCAGTCCGGCAAAGCCCCGCCTGATTTCTTCCTTGAGCTGCTGAGATACAAAACCACATTGTCACGTACAAAAAGATTAGTGAATCCTCCCTTCCCCCAGCTGAACACAAAGCTTTATTTTTTTAAATTTAATCTATTCAGAGAGGTAACTGTTGCTATTCAGCCACCATCCGCGCCTCCAGTGACTTTTCATGTCATTACAGATTCCTTCATGGCTCACTGCACCTCAAACCCAATGGGAAAAGCAGCAATTGTCCACACTAATTATCCCATAAAGACAGAGAAGTTGTTCTGTGGGGCAGACAAAGGGGCTTGGGATTTGGGGGAGGGGGAGAAAAGAAGAGAGCTGGAGAGAGGGGTGTTATTAGGAAAATGGCAATACCGAAGGTAGAGAATTGGGTTCAAAAACCTGCTCATCTTCTAACAGACCTACACGAGCACAGCATATGAACCTCTTCATTCCTGCACCACAAACTTGTACATTTGACCTTATCCCCACTTCAGCCACAATGGCTCCTCACCGTAATTGGAATATTTGGGAGTCTCAAAATAGTTTGGATTTTGCACAGAGGGTCAAAAGGAATGAAATATCTGAGTTCAAACTCTGTCAGATTGCCATTCTCCAAATCTGTGCTCCTGCCCCCAAACCTCCCTGAGCAGGGTATTCTCTGCTGACCACCTACAGCCCCTGCATGTGAGGAATCACACACCTCCGAGAGCCTAAAGGCCCTGCAAAGGGGCTTGGAACATGGGAAAACTCCATGCCATAAATCTTAGGAATCCCAGGGTGATGTGTTTAGAAATGTGAAGGAATTGGACCCTCACTTTGTGAATGTTAATAGGCTACTTACTACCCATCTGGTAGAAGAGATAAATTAGCAGTACTGAGCAATATCTCTATAATGTTTACATTAGAAGTAGTTTCCAAGGAGCTGGGAGGGTTGGCAGGGTGAGGAAGTGGCATCCTCAGTACCCACACAGGACCTCTCACTGCATGGTACGTGCACCAGCGTGGAGCAGGGCAAAGGCAGAGACAGAAAACAAGAAATCACTGAGAGCAGCTGCTCTCTTTCTTTTCTGTCTAAAAAGCCAAATCCAAAAGATGCTCATTCCTGCTGCAGCCAGCACTTGTAATTTACTGTATATCATGGCCCCAGTCGGAGCTTCCAATGGAAACAACATAAAGTTTGAAGAACGACATGGAAAACAAAAGAAAATCTACAGAAAATCTGCCAATGAATTTGTTCTTTTTTATTCATCGACAATATTTACTGGAAGACAGTCATTTTCCAGAGTGTCTTTCATGTCTGGAAAAACCACAGAACCTATCGTTTACGACAGAAACTGTTTCTTTCTCACTAGACTATCAAAGGCAGCATGAAAAAGCTGATGACTAACAAAGATGTGACTTCAGATAAGAGATTTCTCCCTGTAAGTAATTTTCCCTGTGGCAAGAGTTTGCTTCAACTTCACTGGGAGATGCAGCAGAAGGCAAAGCCGAGCTCTTATCCAACCACAAACATCCAATACAACAGCCAAAGGAAAACAAAGCAACTTGCCAACTCAATTGCACTGCTTAGAAATGGCTTTTCCCCCCCCCAAAGCCCCACTTCAGCACATTCAGAGCTTCCACCACACTGCTCAACTACTCCTTGGGCTGGAGTCCGAGCCTGGGCTTTGGTGGGCTGGGTTCCAGCAGACACCAGGTCCTACTGGCATGGGCAGAGCAGCTGCCAGCACTGACCCCACTGCCAGCAGCATGAACTGTGCTCATCTGGACTGAGTCTGGCCTTGGTACCAGCCAGGCCAGGCCAAGCTGGGAAAAAGCCTCCCTGCAGCCCTCGGAGCAAGCTGAAGCCTTCAGCCATGAGGTGTGTAGTCTGAGGGGGAAAAGCAAAACCAGAAAGGGCATGAGACACCTAAATCAGAGAGGAAAGAGTGCTGTGCTCCCTGGCTCATCCCTCTGCCAGAGAAGGATTCCTCTCAGACATAACTGCCATTTCCATTTCAATTGATTCCCATGGCAGGGAATGCTCCTTGGGGGATTTCTACAGCCTGACAGATCATGGGAATAGGAAAATGTTGCTGATGCTCAAACTACACACTTCTTCATTCAGCTTTGGTCCCTTATTTCCAGTCACACAGCTCCAGGCAGTCTGTTGATGCTTCCTGGTTATTCCAGAACCATCTTTCCTATGTAGGAAATGACCACTTCTTATACCCATGTTCCAGAACTGAGGTCATGCCACGGCAGACACTCTCCTGCCCATGGTCACTGATATGAGACCAAGGGCTGATTCTCCCAAGTTCACAGACAATATTCACTTACAGGCACACACAACAAGAGGTAAAGAAGCTCCTGCCATTTTCCTGGCAGTGGAGCAGACTGAGCTGTATTTAAACCAACTTCCCTCAGTTATTTGGGCTGGACATTGGGGTGGCAGCAGAAGCACAACACTCCTGAGCTGCACAGAGAGGGCAGGGCAGCCCTGGCCCTCAAGAGTCTACACTTGCTGTGGGTGCATGGCCCTAGGCAGGGATCAGCCCATCTCAGTCACAGCGTGACCAGCACATGTCAGAACCCACTGGGACATTCCTGCCGAGCTTCCCTCACCAGCTGCTCCCACCACAGGCCTCCTCATCACTCCGAAAAGGGTTCATTGGGGGTCAGAAATGCACCCTCCAGGTGGAGAAACACACTCCTGCCTGTGCCAGCACCCCCACAGCACTGCCTGGAGGGTGGGACCAGGGGGACCTGAAACCCCACTGGGGAGCTGCAGCCTGCATGCCCTGCAGTGCTGCATCCCACTGGAATGACCAACACAAGAAAGACATGGACCTGTTGGAATGAATCTAGAGGAGGCCACTAAGTTGGTCACGGGGCTGGAGCCCCTCTGCTCCAGAGTCAGGCTGGGAGAGCTGGGGGGGTTCACCTGGAGAAGAGAAGGATCCAGGGAGACCTGAGAGCCCCTTCCAGGGCCTAAAGGGGCTCCAAGAGAGCTGGAGAGGGACATGGGACAAGGGATGGAAGGCCAGGACAAGAGGGAATGGCTTCCCACTGCCAGGGGGCAGGGTTAGATGGGATATTGGGAAGGAATTCTTGGCTGCAAGGGTGGTGAGGCCCTGGCCCAGGTTGCCCAGAGAAGCTGTGGCTGCCCCATCCCTGGAAGTGCCCAAAGCCAGGATGGACAGGGCTTGGGGCAACCTGGGCTAGTGGAAGGTGTCCCTGCCCAAACCAGTGTGTGATTCTGTCACTCTGTGACCATTACAGATACAAATCAACTGAACACATGGAGCTGCAAGTGTGAGTCCTGGGGATCCTCCAGCTTTTCCATCTCCTGCAGGAATGCTCTGGTGCCTTCTGGCCAACGACACGTCCATGGGAGGCTTTGTCATTTCCAGAGTATTTTTCTTCCCAATCCACACACAGATCCCAGGGTATCCAGTGCAAAGAATTTTGATGATTACCCTTTCCTACTGTTGTTTTGTGGGATTAACTGCCCTCAAGACCTAAAGGATAATATTTTTTTTCCTCCAACTGTAACAAAAGTTGATGGAAAGCTCAAGGCTTTAGAGTTGCTGAGCTCAAATCTCCCTTGGTGAGTGACCATTTGGAAAGGCACCTCTCACACTGGGTTTCCAGTTTAATAATTCCAGCTGGGAACCACAGACTACCAGTAATGGAAAGTCTAAGTGCAGCAGACAAGGACAATGACTAAACACTCCAGACACCCAGGATGGAGCACGTACACCAGGTCCTCAGCCGTGCTGGCCATTCCACACAGGACACATTCCATGTGGTTATGTGGGGAGATGCAGGGTCCTGGGTCTTTTAGAAAAGAAACCATCTCAGCTGTGAACCTGCCTGAACAGTGGAGAGTTAAACATGGCAAACCCACCACTCAGCCAATTCATCTACTGGTTTTGTTAGTTTTCAAGCTCCAAGATTTAGATGAAACATATTTTACTCCCTAGGTTGCTGTATAAAAATACAGCACTAATTTTAGCCAAGCAGTGTAAATTCACCACTCTAAAAGGCAAAGACAAACCAAATCAGGAAAAAAAATACTTTGAATAGGAAAGCTTTGATATCATTCCACTTGGCAAAGAGCACTTCTCTACCGACTTCAACCCTCATTTTTTTCAGCTACTAGAAGTATTCTTCCCCCTCCCCAAAGATCCTCCATTTAATGGACAAAAAAGTGTTTAAAACAAAACAAAAGCAACTTTGATTTTTTTCCCTCTGTAACTCAGCCCTGTAAACTCCAGCTCTTTTACAGGAGCCCCTGAGCTGCTCCACATCACACAGAGTACCTTTTCTTTTCACTTGTAGCTGCAAATGCACAGGCTCTTCCCCTGTGTGCTGGAATGAAAGAGCAGTGAAGGATTGCAGGTCTGACCTGTGCCTGGACATGCTCTGCATGTCACCGAGGGGGCTCAGCCTTACCTTCCTCAGCTCTTGCTTTGTCCAGAGAAGCTGAAGGGTTTTCAGCAATAGGAGTGGGTCCTGGCCTGCAGGAGGGGGAAGAGAGAGAGAAAAGGAGGGAGAAAAACAAAACAAAACAGATTTATTGGCTCTGTGGAGGCAGCCCAGACACACTGGGGCATTGTTTCACCCGAGAGGAATCAGCTACTCCGTGCACTGTGTTGGAAACCACCAACCTTCCAACTGCCAGTCAGGATTAGAGTGCTAAACCCCTGCACTCCAAACCCCAGCCGACTCACAGCCATCACCCAGGCACGGCTTTAACTCAGCACCCCCGGCCCCAACACTGCAGAGCTGTGCTGGTGCATCACAGCTCAGTCCTGCTGCTGCTCCTCACCCCGTCCACCCCCACCCCCCTTTCACACGAAACAAAACGGTCCTGGAAGAGAGAACACCTTGCACAGGTCGGGAAGGGTGATCAGCACACAGATTTTTAAGGAATGGCTCTGAAGTGTAACCTCATGGCAAGCTGGGGGTGGAGGAGGGAGCGGGTGAATTTGGGAGCAGCTCAGCCCCGGGTGCTGCAGGGCAGAGCCTGTCCTTGACAGGCTGGACTGGACACGGGCTGAGGGATCCGGGCAAAGGGGTGTCTGAGGAAGAGGGAGATAAAATGCTGCTGTGATTAGTGGCAATGCTAAACAAAGAGGGATCCAATATTTCAAAAGAAGGTTATTTGGAATTTTCCTCTTACTTTTCACCTAGTTATTGTAGAACTTGAAGTCAGTTGTTCTTTTGTGTCTATTATCATTCATCATACTGTTACTCATCATGCCAGTATTTCTGAACCAATTTTTTAGGAATAACTCATTTTAAAAGCAGTAACATGTTTGATATTTGATTCTATTTAATGCACAATCATTTACTTATGAAACCATGACTCAGAATATTCTGAATGAAAATCGTCTACAGCATGAACAGTTTAAATGTGAAGAATGAATTTAGAAATCTGAATGAGCTCTCCAAAACCACTCCTTCTCGTGCACCTCCTCTTATGTTTTCCTACAGCCAAAAGAAAATGTTAAACTGAAAAGGAAGCATTCTTTCAATCACCTTTTGTGTTTTACAATTCCTAAAGAGCTCATTTCCAAATGCCAGATTTCATGCTCAGTATCCCATCACACTTCATATTTCAGGTCACAAAAAACTTCCTCAGCTGTGAAATGCTCTACCTCATCCAACTGAACTCTGAGGCACTGCATTTATAAAATATTTGAAGTAGCAAGCTGATTACTGGTCGAGCCAAGAGCATGATAATATTCCCATTATCCACTAACCTCTGGGAAACACCAGCCAAATTAAAAATGCCACATTTACAATTCATAAGATAATATTTTCTCTCATCTCTGGTTGTTCTGAAATGTTGAACTCTCCAAACACTGGCAGTTCTCAGCTACTGCTCCTCCTCTGGAAAAAGAAAAGGCTCTTTTTACACCAGAACAGAAGAAAAGCCAGATCCCTACTCCCCACTAAATTAGCAAATTACTGTCAAATTCAACCCATGTGTGTGTGCATATCTGCACACTCTCCTTTTGGCCTAACTCCCAAAGAAATTTATACACACACAGGAAAAAAAAACTAGAATGCAACGCAGTGTGTAACCAAATACACTGTAAATCTGAGCTGTAATTAATGCAGGGAACAAGCTGGAATGATACAGGAAATGAGAGCAGTTAAGGAGAGCAGTGTTTCGCTTCAGATACAGCCAATAATTCAACTTGTTAAAAAGCTTTCTAAACCTCAATCAACAAACCCAGCCCTTTTCTTACTGACTTTTTCCTGCCTTACCTCCCTGCAACTGAAACCCGAACTCACTGGTTTGAGACACACAGACCGATGGAAACATCTCTCCAGTCAATTTTAACCAGCTCAGTGTGGTGCCAACACGGCCCTGAGCAGGCACAGGTACATGGGGCACCTTCCCCTCCCCAGACCCTGGCACTGAACGCACCCAGAACTCAGTTATTCCCACAGACCCCACCTGGAGCACTGTGCAGCTCCAGGGTGCTCAGCACAGGAAGGACATGGACCTGTTGGAGAAGTCCAGAGGAGGCTCCGGAGATGCTTCAAGGGCTGGAGCCCCTCTGCTCTGGAGCCAGGTTGGGAGAGCTGGGGGAGTTCATTTGGAGAAGAGAAGGCTCCAAGGAGAGCCTAAAGGGGCTCCAGGAGAGCTGGAGAGGGACTTGGGACAGGGGATGGAGAGACAGGACAAGGGGGAATGGCTTCCCCCTGCCAGAGGGCAGGAGTTGAACGAGAGAAACTCTGAGAAATCACCCGTTGGTGTCCAAACAGGGCTGCTCCTTTCCTTACCTGGTAAGGCTTGTAAGGATCTAAGGATGAAATATAGTCAGAGGCTAAACATAACAAAATAACCCACATGCAGTAGCTCCCGGTGCCAAACATGAACAGGACAGTAAAGCCACATCTCACCCCACATCTCATGCCCTTGTCTCATCCCACCAGAGAGGAGGGATGCTGCAGTTCATGCTGGATTTTGAGCTATTGTGTCCAGTTACTCTCCAGCTGAGACAGAAGATGGAAATGCGAAGGTTCATATAATTTTGTCTCCTGAAAGAAGTGAACAATTCATCTGTTCTGTGTCCTGCAGGACCTCTTTGGAGGACTGGCCTCCTCATGGTTCTCCTGCCACCCATAAATGAAAAATTAGTGTCTTTGGCATTGATGAAGAATTAATAACTACTGCTATATTCCCACTGGAATACCAGACAGGTTCCTGCTCATCCACATCGCAGAAGGAAGCAGCAGTAAACTAATGCCAGGATATCCAAGGAAAAACAACAGGACCTTACAGGGAATTTCATAAGCCTTCCAGACAAATCTGGAGAGCAGACAACTGCTCCACACACAAGGGAGTGAGGAAGAAATACAAGAGAAGGAGGAATAAAGCAAAGTGACTGAAAACCAAGCAGTCAGAACTGAACCACAAGTGCACCTGGGCTTGGCTCAGGACAACAACAAGGCAAGGATGGGGCATGGCCAGAAAAACACCTTCATATGTCCCACCAAGAACAGCCAGAGTAGCCACTGCTGAAGAGAAGTTAAATCCTGCAGAGATTCCTACATCCTGAAGAGATATCCAGCTATTAGCAAGGGACAGTCAATGAGCAAAATAAACAAAACACGGATGTAAACCAGCAAAAAACCCCAATGTGGCAAGTCCGAGAGCTGAGCTGTCCCTGCTCCAGCTGTGGGCAGCAGGGCTGGCCGGGTCCACCACTGCAGCAGCCGAGACGTGTCCGAGGCAACTGAGCCCAACCCCGTTCCCAGACCAAGCTCCAGAGAGAGTGCTCAGTCTGACACTGATCCTTCCCTTCACAGCTCCAAAAAAGGGGGTTGCAGACCATAAAACACCTGGCAAAGCCTCACCAAAACAAGGTTAAAGAACGCTGGTGGAGATCTCAAAAAGACACATCTGTGCCCACTCCATCAAGACACAAATAACTTTGAGTTCTTCCTCTGAGAGTTTCTCCTAATAGCATGTTCCTGTTTTAAACATTTTGACATTAATATATTTCCTCTCAACATTTTTCATTCTGAAAATAAATGAGCTCTGCCCTGAATCTGGTACCAAAACTGGAGGAGCTGGTAAATCAAATGTCTTCCAGTTCTCAAGATCTGTGGTTACATTTCAAAACCATATAAACCACAAGGCTTATATTTCTGAGTTAGAAAAGTGCCTTTGAGGAAAGCCATAAAGTACTTTCTGTTCATTCTCTCCTTTTCCTTTGTGCATCCATCACCCAGACCCTGCTGTGATCACAACAAAAGCGGTGCTCACGGGCTGGTGAGGTAGCACTGGGTTTGCTGGTGAGGTTTGCAGGGCATCCTTGCAAAATTCTGCTGCTTTACCACCAGTGCTGCTGAAACGTCCTGGCAAGAGAACCCCCTGTTCTGACTGAGGCTCCTCGTGTCTCTCGCCTGAGGCAAGTGAGGCATCCAACCCCAGAGGAGGAACTTCCCAAGGAAAAAACCTCCTGAGACTTTCTCTTTGTGTCCAAAGCCATTAAATGCCCCCAGATGTTGAGATCTGGAAGAATCACGGTCAGCAAAAGAAAAGATACAGAATGAAAACAAAAGCAACTACCCCAAAAAGAAGGCTCAAGTGACTGAAATGCAGGATCACAGCCCCCAAACTGTCGCTTACAGCTGGAAGTCATGGACAGGAAAGGTCAAGAACAATAAGCTAATTACAGAATCACAGAATCATGGAATCATAGAATCTTCTGGGTTGGAAGGGACCCTCAAGGACCATCCAGTCCAAGCCCCAGCCCTGCACAGACACCCCAACAATCCCACTCTGTCCCTCAGAGCGTTGTCCAAACCCTCCTGGAGCTCTGGCAGCCTTGGTGCTGTGCCCACTGCCCTGGGAAGCCTGGGCAGTGCCCAACCACCCTCTGGGGGAAGAACCTTTCCCTGAGATCCAACCTGACCCTGCCCTGACACAGCTCCAGCCCTTCCCTGGGTGCTGTCCCTGCTCACAGGGAGCACAGATTGGAGCTGCCCCTACAATGATTATGTTTTCTTTAGGCAGCCAGATTACACCTCTGCCCTGCAACTTAGTGGGATTTTAATAAATGTTTAATGGAATATCCAACAAATCCAACCCACCCAGTAAACAATCAGTGAATTTTTACTATTACTTATTGTCTTGTATGCCCTCTGCCCCAATAACTCCCTGAGATATGTTCTCTGTGAAAACTCCTGTTCATCTCTGATATATCTGAGATATTTTTCAGAAAGGAAAACAAAAATCTGAGACGTTTCTGTGTCCCCCTCACCAAGGGGAGCTGGACTGTTTGGACTTAAAAAACTCCAACATATCAGTGTACAGGCAATGCATGAGCTGAGAGTGTGGGTGAGCAGAGTCCTTCAGCCAGCTCATGTTCAGCCATCTAATGCTGCCCTCTGGCAGTGGGAAGCCATTCCCCCTTGTCCTGTCCCTCTAGGCCCTTGTCCCCAGTCCCTCTCCAGCTCTCTTGGAGCCCCTTCAGGCACTGGAAGGGGCTGT